TTTTGATTTTCAGGAAGTCCAATTTAACTATTTTTTCCTTTTGTTCCTATCCAAGAATCCTTTGTCAAATCCAAGATCATGATTTGTCTCTAACTTTTCTTCTAAAAATTTTATAGTTTTCATTCATATTGAATGTTTTGATTTGAGTTAGTTTTTATATATAATGTGAGCTAAGGGTCTGACTTTATTTTTTGCATCTCATTGTCCCAGCAACATTTGTTAAAAACTGTTCTTTCCCTATTGGATGATTTTGGCTTTTTTATCACCATGAACTGTCCATCTTTATCTCCTGTTCTAACATCTATTTTGATAATGCTGTAAACTTTCTTTTAAATCGTGCTTTTAAAATTTTTGTTTATTTATTTACTTATTTTTATTTTGGTTGTGCTGGGTCTTTGTTGCTGCACACTGGCTTTCTCTAGTTGTGGTGAGCAGGGAGGGGCTACTCTCTAGTTGCAGTGTGTTTGTTGTTCAGTCGTTCAGTCATGTCTGACTCTTTGCAACCCCATGGACTGCAGCACGCCAGGCTTCCCTGTCCTTCACTATCTCTCAGAACTTGCTCAAACTCATGTCCATTGTATTAGTGATTGCATCCAACCATCTTATTCTCTGTCACCCCCTTCTCCTGCCCTCAATCTTTCCCAGCATCAGGGTCTTTTCCAATGAGTTGACTCTTCGCATCAGGTGGCCAAAGTATTGGAGCTTCCACTTCAGCATCAGTCCTTCTAATGAATATTCAGGGTTGATTTCCTTTAGGATTGACTAGTTTGATCTCCCTGCAGCGCAAGGGATTCTTAAGAGTCTTCTCCAGCACCACAATTCGAAAGCATCAATTCTTCGGTGCTCAGCCTTCTTTACAGTCCAACTCTCATATTGATACATGACTACTGGAAAAACCATAGCTTTGACTATCTGGACCTATGTCAGCAAAATGAAGTCTCTGCTTTTTAATACATTGTCTAGGTGTATCATAGCTTTTCTTCCAAGGAACGAGTGTCTTAATTTCATGATTGCAGTCACCATCTGGAGTGATTTTGGAGCACAAGAAAATAAAGTCTGTCACTGTTTCCATTTTTTCCCCATCTACTTGCCATTAAGTGATGGGGACTTCTCATTGAGGTGGCTTCTCTTGTTGTGGAACACAGTCTTTAGGACACTTGGGCTTCAGTAGTTGCAATGTGTGGGCTCAAGAGCTCAGACTCAGTAGTTGTGGTGTATGGACTTAGTTGCTCCACAGCATGTGGGATCTTCCCAGACCAGGGATAGAACAGGTGTCCCCTGCAAGGTGGATTCTTAACCAGTAGATCACCAGGGAAGCTGTACTGTAAACTTTTAATTGCTGTTTACATGTATACATTTTCCATGATTTTACTTTTAATCTATCTGTATCTTTATATTTAAAGTGGGTTGGGACTTCCCTGGTGGTCCAGTGGCTAAGACTTCAAGCTCCCAATGCAGGAGGCCCAGGTTCAATCCCTGATCAGGGAACTAGATCCCACAGGCCGCAACTAAGGGTTTCCATGTCAAAACTAGGATATGATGCAGCCATGTAAGTAAATAAATATTTTAAAAAGAATAGCACTTAACTGAGTCTTGATTTTTTTTACTCAAGCTGAAAATCTCTTTTTAATTGGAGTATTTATATCATTTGCTTTTAATGCCATTATTGACATGGCTGTGTGTAAATCTACCATCTTGTTTTCTATTTGTCTCATCTTTTCTTTTTTTTTTTTTTGTTTCCTGCCTTCTTTTGGGCTGAGCATTTTTTATGATTCCATGCTAACTCCACAACTGATATATTAGCTATACCTCTTTTTGTTTTATAGCTATTGTTGTAGGACAGGAGTTTGCAAACTACTGTATGTGGGCCAAATCTGACTTGCCATCTGTCTTTGTAAATTAAGTTTTATTGGAATACAGTCATGTCCATTTGTTTACGTATAGTCTATGGCTGCCTTCATGTCGGTTTGGGTTTTGAGCCAATTCTCACCACCAAGGCAAATAACCTTCTGAAGACACTTCTCAGTGTTCTATGGTGTAGAAAGTAACTTCACTCTGGCTCACAGGAACTCGAGATAATCCCAGCCTTTTGCATGTTCCAGGAATTTTTCAGTCTGCTCCTTTCCAATGACTCTTTCACTGGCTTCAGGTGATTTCCTCCTGTGTGTGCAAATCAGTTTAGACAGATTCGAAGAAATACCTCTGCAGACCTGCAGAACCCTCTTCTGACACTTTCCTTCGATTTTCTCAATTCTCATCTCTCTCTCCTCAACTAGGCAAGATCACCATGCTGTTTGGATTCTCCTTCTCTGAGCTATGAACTTGAAAACCCCGTCCATCACTAAGCTGAATCTATCACAAGGCTCACCTTGTTTCTCTTATGAATTAATGTGCTAGGCTTCTTTGTTACTTAATGTCTGAAGACTAGTTTCCTATTTTCATTTGTTTTTCTATTTAAATCCATCTAAGTCAGTGTGATCACTCTTTTTCAACATGGCCAAAAGCAGAAATTTATAAGTTTTGATATGTAGAATTTTCATCATTGCCAGTTCTAAATATTTTCTAATTTGTAATTTTTGATTCACAGTTTTAGAATGTATTTCTTAAATTCTAAACATAAAATTTTTCAGTTATTTTTATCTAATTACACTGTATTGAGAGAGCATGCTATGTATGGTTTCAGTCCTTTTGTAATGCTTGAGATTTCTTTTACTGACCAGTATTTGGATGATTTTTGTAAATGTTCTGGATGCACTTGAAAAGAACATGTACCCGTGGCAGTCTGTAACAGGATTCTTTATATATCCATTATTGTTTGTTAATTGTGCTGTTTAAATATCCTGTATCCTTGCTGATTGTTTTTCTGCCTGTTCTATCAATTACTAAGAGAAGATGTAATCTGTCTACTGTGATTGTGAATCTACCTATCCTTACTTTTAAGACATTTTGTTCAAGTACAGCAAATAACTGGAGGTGTTTTAAAAACCTATTCTTTCAATCTTTATCTTTTACGTAAAACAATTTTCTTACTTACATGGAATATGGTTACTATTCTATAAAATTATGTAGGTTTTAGGTTTCTTTTTGATTTTCATATTGTACATGTTTTGCTTTTTTCTTTGAACATAAATTTCAGGTGTTAAGTGTTAGTCGCTCAGTCATATCTGACTCTTTGCAACCCCTGGACTGTATCCCACCAGGCTCCTCTGTCCATGGGATTTTCCAGGCAAGAATACTGGAGTGGGTTATCATTGCCTCCCCCAGGGGATCTTCCCGACCCAGGGAATGAATCCATGTCTCCTGTGTTTCCTGCACTGCAAGCAGATTCTTTACCTGCTGAGCCACTGGGGAAGCCAAAAAATAAACTTCAAAGGTTACTTTTATCAACTAGCTGCTACAGCCAACAACCAGCCCCAAATTTAAAATAAGCTTCAAACAACAATCATTTATTATTTCTATGATTCTACAGGTTGACTCTGTGAGCTTCCGGCCTGGGACAGCATGGGTGATCTATGCAGTCTGCTAGTAGGGCTGGACAGTATAAGACCTCATTCACATATCTGGCAGTTGGCAGCCTGTTTGGTCTTGGGGTGGGAGCAGGGCTCAGCTGGAATTACCTTTCTCTGATCAGCCTTCCAATAGTCCAGGTTTCTTCACATGGTAGTCTCGGTAAGAGATGGCAAGCTCCAACGCGTAACAAGTTTTTAGTCTTCGGTTTTGTCCTATTTGCTATTTGTCTCATTGACCAAAACAAATCATAGGGCCAAACCAGGTACAACAGGTGAAGATACAGACTCCACCTCTTGATGAGAGAAGTAGCAAGGTTAGCATACGAAGGGGGAGAGCACAGGGGTAGGAGGGATTCTGGTGGTTATTTCCACAGTTGACCCATCAAGTCACCTTACCAAAAGCACTGCGGTTAAGAGACAAATGACAACCTTGGAAAATATTCACAATTCAAATTGTAAAAGATTAATTTAGCTAACACACCAGAAGCACCTATAAACTGTTAAGAGAAAGATGAAACAATCATACCTAAATGACTAAAGGATATGGACAGTCTCCAAAAAAGGAAATACAAATGTCTGTTGCATTTTGTATTATATTTAGCCATATATTTGTGGGAAAGGAGAGGGAAATTTTTAAGGTCAATTAGGGAATCTTTAAAAAACTAATTGATTTTTGATACCATGGTACAAAATTTTTAAAAGTACAAAAAGGTGCTAGGTGAAAAATCTCTCTTTTCTTCTTTACACTACATTTATCATGGTTTGATTTTATTTACAAGAGATAGTCCCATACAGGAAGTTTTAGTATTTCAAAAATTTCAAACATTTCAATCATTTAATTTATGGCTCCTGGATTTCAGCCATAAGTTTCTGACTCTGATTATTTAAAAATCAAAACATTAAAACTCCTTTATGATTTATTTTACTATCTTTTAAAAAAATATTTAAATCTTTGATCCCTTGAAATTATCCTGATATAAGGGGTAAAGCATAAATTTAGCACCATGGGTTGAATTATCCATCTCTCTATTACTGATTTAAAAGGTCATCTTTTTCATAAATCAAATTCCTGCATATATTAACATTTGGAATTAGGCAGGTAAGCTGATCAGAAAAAACAATGGCAAATCCCAGGAGAAGGGGGCGTGGGAGGAACATAACTGAAGCTGCAGAATCTTTCCCTTTCACTTAGCTGACCTTGTGAATGACTGCATGATGACTGTCGTGTGTTCACCTAAGAGAGCTACTGAAGGACATCAAGCCACTAACAACGTAGAAAACCAATGTTTCTTCATATGAAAACTATGCATTTGCACATAAAAATTCAATACACAACCAGACACCGCTATTCCATTTCATTACAATAATGTAATGACATTATTTCATCTAAGAACACAGAAATTAAGTTATAAGGAATGTCACAAGGAAAAAATTCTTTAAAGTCCTATTCAATCTACTTTGTTAAGAAAGGTGAAATTTATTTGGCTCTGGTCACAGTTCCATCATGTTTACTTTCTTTGTAAGTTCAGCTTCAATAGTATCCTAAAGGAAGAAAGAAACACCATAAATATTATAACTAAAGACATAAAAAAAAGTGCTCTAACTTCTAATGCTATTTAAAATAATGAAAACAAAAAGGAAAACCACTAAAGCAGAAATTTTTAAAAATATCATTATAAATGAGATTTTTCCTTGTTTTTATATCTTTCCCACTTCCCATACTTCAAGTCTTCAGGCTCCTAATAAACATCCAAGGAGGGATAGAGCGGTGAATGACATGACACATGAATAGGTTTTCCTGACCTGTACTCCTTAAGCAATGTACTTTCGCAATGTCTCTCACATCGCTCTTTTCCAGTCTCACTGCCACTGTTCTCGTTACTTCTCATCTGGCCTAAACAGGCCAACTTGTTTCTGCAATTTTCTTTCTCTATCCTCCAGTCCACCCTAAACACTGATTCCAGAAAAATCTTCCTAAATGACTGGCCTGATCAAAAAGCATAACCTTGATCACGTTTCTCTCTAGCTTAAAAAGCAAGAGCAACTTTCAGTGGTCCCCTGCAGTAGCAGTCCCCAACCTTTTAGCACTAGGGACCAGTGGAAGACATTTTTTCCGTGGACTGGAGGTGGGGGGATGGTTTCGGGATGATCCAAGTGCATGATATTTATTGTGTACTTTATTTTTATTTTGTGGCAATCTCAGGATATTCTCCCTTGACTTTAGGGTTGGTGTTCACACTCCTATGAGAATGGGATGCTGATGTGATGGGGGCAGAGCTCAGGAGGTAATGTGAGCAGCTGTAAATATACGTGAAGTTTCTCTTGCTCACTCACTTGCTTACCTCCTGCTGTGAGGCCTGGTTCCTAACAGGCCGTGGACCAGTCCTGGGGACCCCTGCCCTACAGACTCCAAGTTCAACCTTCTTTATATTGAAGGCCCTTCACCTCCTAAACCAATTGACCTACTTCTTCTACTGCATACCCCTAAGCAGGCAGATTGCTTTACTTGCAAAAGCTTGGAAAAGTCCTCCATTTTTCAGCTCTTATGTTTTCGTTAATTCCTGACTTCCCTGGTGGCTCAGATGGTAAAGTGTCTGCCTACAATGCGGGAGACCTGGGTTTAATCCCTGGGTTGGGAAGATCTCCTGGAGAAGGAAATGGCAACCCACTCCAGTATTCTTGCCTGGAAAATTCCATGGACAGAGGAGCCTGGTAGGCTACAGTCCATGGGGTCACAAGAGTCGGTCATGACTGAGTGACTTCACTTTCACTTTGTCTAGAATATTCTATGCCTCTCAACTCTCCTTTTCTATCCAGGAAAATCTACACAAAAATTTAAAAGACCACTATGTATTTTTTATGGGGAAAAAAATACATATATGCCCCCAAAAAAGTATTAAAAGATGCATGGTAATGATATACCTCAAGTTTGGGACTGTGGTTTACCTTTACCTCTGAGTAGAAAGGAAAGAAAGAGGAGGAAGGGAGTTTTAGCTTTATTGGCATTTATCTTTAAAAGTCTGAAGGAAAAAAATTGGAACTACTTACTAATTCTCGCTTTGCTTCTTCAATTTTTACCTGAGCAAGAGATGGATTCTTTAAAAGAAAAATAAAATAAGGAAAGGTTATGTTGTCTCGGCTAGGAAACAAGGGGAAAAAAGATACAACAATCCTTTTCAAAAGGCAAAAAAACTTATAGAAAGTATATCCAAAGTACATACAATACTGAAATTCAATAATGACTTTTAACACAGACCCTTATACAACCTAAAACGCCAGAACTGCATTCTACAAGAATTTGGAACTTATCTTTTACTGAAAGAGAAAAAAGAGGAGGACCTGGGTCCTTAGACATGGACCCAGTATTTTCATGATCATTTAGTGCCCTTGGAGAAAGCTGGAGGAGGTAAACTTTTTCTTTTTAATTCATAAAAATAATTACCGGCATTAAATCTAAATAGGACTCCAATTTTTTCTTCAAAGGTATAGTCTGTCGTTTTAGTTCTTCCAGTTTCTGAGGGTGAAAAAAAACACACAGAATAATAAAGATATTCACAATGCAATTAAACACTGCACATTTCTGAAATAAAACATGACAAAACATTAACACTAGGATATTTTAAATAATGTAACAAATAAAGAGCTTCAAAGGCAAATGGATAACAAATGGACACAATCCTTAAAAGATGTTAAAACAGCAAAGTAATACTCCCATTTATTAAGACAAATATGCTGTCTGGGAATACAAAATAATGTGATTAAGAGGCATCAGAACATCAGGAAATAAGAATCTCAAACACATATTTATGAACTGTTAATTTTAGATTCCAAAAATCAAAGTACGAAAAAATCTTAAGAATAAAACCATAAAACAAATCCCCCCATTTCTCCCTCTTCCTATGAAAATAAATAAAACTCTTATAGAACCTAAACCCCAGAAATGCATTCTATAGGAGTTGGGAGCCAGTATTTTGCTGAAAGGGAAGAAATATGAATACTTCAGTGGTGTAACACATAATAGTTCAGTATATTTATACAATAGATAAATCAATAATCACTGACTCCATCAAATAAAGAAAAAACCAAGCAAATGTAAACATATATATAGATAAACAAGTAATAAAAATATAAATACTGGTAAACATAAAATACACAGGTAAAGGAAAAGAAATCAGGTCAATAGTGAATAAAGCTGTATAACAAGAAATGCAAAGCACATGGCACAGTGACATTTTAAAGGAAGTTAAGTTGGGTAAAGTAAGCGAACCTCTGAAAGTGCTACCAGTGACTGATGAGACAGAGAAGCATCCATCCCTCGGGCTGAAAGCTGCTTCTACAATGACAAAAAAGGGAGTTCAGTTTAAAAAATTATTTTGCAAGTAACCATCATTAAATATTTTCAATATATAACATAGTAAAGAGAAGCTACAGAAAAAAAAAGTCATAGATGAAGAACTATACTTGCTTGTAAGCACTTTTATGTTGCATGTGCGTCATTTCAGACAGTCCGAGATTGGTGACAATATGGGTGCAGGGCTTAAGAGCCTGAGTTTCGGGACCTGCATATGAACTGGGATCTGCTGATAGATGGCTTTGTGACCTTGGGCAAGATACTATCTTCACAGTACCCTTGTCATGAAAGGAGAATAATAATCCTGCCTAGTTGTGAGGATGAAAGTTGAAAAGACGTCTAAAGAGAGCTAAATATATTGAGTCTTTCACACAAACCTCCGCAGTTCTAATTCCAGATCTGAACTCCTCTGACTTGGCTTTCAGGAAGTCCATGTTCTGAAGACGACTGTCAACTCTGGCCCTTTCTGTACACAGATGTAACTCTGCCTTCTTGAGATCCCTTGAAAAAGTAAAGTTGAGAACATTTTCTTCTCAGTGAAATTATTATAAAAAGCAAACTACTACTTCTTTGATTCAACTCTGGGTTAGTCAAGAGTAGATAACATACTACCACGCATTTCTTCCAGGTCATCTTTCTTTCCATGTTGCCATTTGGGATTTTTCTCAAGGAATACTGAATAATTTTAAGATTAATCTATGCCGATTATTCTTGGAGAAAGTAGATCTGCTGCTCAAAAAGTGACTTAATGGATCCTAAAGCTTATTTGAATTATGGAGGTCACAAAGAACTCTCTTCTAAATGTGACATGACAAGATGCTTTGCATATACAGAGTCAATATGTATTGGATAAATTTATACAACATCATATTACTTGTGCATATACATACTCCTGTTTCACAGCATCTAACCTCTGGGGCCACAAGGACCTAAAGAAGGGCTAGAACATCAAGAGGGATACCAGAATTTCAGTAAGAAAGGGCAACAAAATAGAACATGACTTCCCTGGTGGTTCAGACAGTAAAGCGTCTGCCTACAATGCGGGAAACCCGGGTTCAATCCCTGGGTTGGGAAGATCTCCTGGAGAAGGAAATGGCAACCCACTCCAGTATTCTTGCCTGGAAAATTCCATGGACGGAGGAGCCTGGTAGGCTACAGTCCATGGGGTCACAAAGAATCGGACACGACTGAGCAACTTCACTTCACTTAAGTTGTACCATAGTTTATGACACAGTGGCGGAAGGAGAGAGTGGGAAGAATTGAGAAAACAGCATGGAAACATATACCTCACAATGTGAAAAACAGATAGCAAGTGAGAATTGGCTGTGTGACACAGGGAGCTCAAACCAGTGTTCTGTGACAACCTAGAGGGATGGGATGAGATGGGAGATGGGACCCGGGGTTCAGGAGGGAGGGGACATGTGTACACCTGTAGCTGCTTCGTGGTGATGTGTGGCAGAGGCCAACACGATGTTATAGAGTAACTGTCCTTCAATAATTGTATTTTGTTCTGTATTTCTCAATATTGTATAATTACAATCTTCAATAATTATTACTCAAGAACAGTTATGAGTATTGTTCAATTGTCATCACCATAGAATGATACTCAGATGTATTCTTTCTGTAAAACTTTATAAGTAATAAAAAAATTTTAAAAATAGTGAAAAAAGAAACTACTATACAAAAGATAAAAGTATGTACCCAAACACTCCTATCTTCATCCAAGTCATTTTCTACTTAAAATAATGTTTTACCTTACCATTTCCTAATGTGTTGTTTTAAATTATATCTATTACTAAAACTAAATCTTACAATGTCCTGTTATTGCCTTTATAATAAAAACTGTCACAACTTCAAACTAATTACTTACTCACGCAGACATTTTTCTAATACTAAAGTTGCAGTTAGATTTTTCTCAACTTTTGCCAATTCAAGCTTGATTTCTTCATTTTTGGATTTGGTGTGAAAAAGATCAGAGGTCAAATCATTCACTGCAGGGATAAAACTAAAAGAAGAATTTGGTCATGTAAATGGACATTAAGGACAATTAAAATCATTACAATTATTCCTCACTTCTAAAAATGATTTTACTTCTGTGTGAATTCTTCCTTAATCATGCTCTTAACTATTTTACACACTGTTCTCATTGGAATACCCTTTCTCAGCTGGCAAATTTCCTTAAAAACTATATTTACTCCCATTCTGGAATTCACTACCCCTTTCTCTGTGCTTTCTACCTACAACTTGTACATTCCTATAATGTTGCAGCTGTCATACTATAATTTTACAAGTCCATCTCCTTCAATTTACCATGAGCAGAGACTATCCTTGCCGGCATTCATTATTCATTTCTGCTTCCCCAGTGCCTACATAGATAGCTATACATATATATATATGGAGGGAGGGAGGGACAAAGAGAGGGAAACAGAGATATAGAGAGAGTTATACATATATTTAGTATTTGGTGTCTGCTGAATTGGCTTAATTCAAGTCAATTGATTGAATTAAGATTTCTGCTGCCATATAGCCTACATGATCTCCTAGCTAAAACTCTTCTGCTTAAATATATATATACACATATTCCAAGCTTTTGCATTAGCAGTTAAACAGAACAACTATACAGTTCTCTGGTTATAATCTGTAACGGTAGTCCCTAGCTAAGATGTATCCAACAGGGATAGTCCTAGGACTCTGAAGTCAGGTGGGGTTTGAAACCCAACTCTGTCATTTACTAGCTCAGAGAAATTATCTAACCCACCCCTCTGAGTCTCAATTTCTTCTTAAGGTTGTTAGAAGAATAATGTCTTTATACAGGTAAAATGCCTGTCACAAGGAAACCTACTCTATCCAATAGGGTAGGTTCATGACTAAAAATCATTATGCTCAACAGTAGACGATTTAGCCTACTGCTTTTCCTACTGTTTAAGGGAATAATCAGTCCTGAATATTCATTGGAAGAACTGATGCTGAAGATGAAGCTACAATACTTTGACCACCTGATGTGAAGAACTGACTCACTGGAAAAGACCCTCAAGCTGGGAAAGATTCAAGGTGGGAGGAGAAGGGGATGACAGAGGATGAGGTGGTTGGATGGCATCACTAATTCGATGGACATGAGTTTGAGCAAGCTCTGGGAGCTGGTAATGGAAAGGGAAGCCTGGCGTGCTGCAGTTCATGGGGTCGCAGAGTCGGACATGACTGAGCGACTAAACTGACTGAAGGGAAAAACGTGATACCTAATCCCTTTTCAAATATACATGCGAACCAACCTTCACAAACCTGATCCTAAAAGAATACATTGTAAATTTAACCAAGTTTATCTGAAATAATCAAACATACTCACTAGCAATGATAAGGAATTGACTAAATTTAGTGTTTCTTCATATATTTCCTATATAATTATAAATATAAAATTATTTCCTATAATTTCCTATATAGCATTACCCTGAGATACAAAAGCTCCTTAGGTCAACACCTGATAGCATATATGACTGCAGAAATTAAAACAATCATAAGAATTACCTAGCTAGAGAGGTATCCTTTGTTTCAAGGGTCACTGCACTGTCAACCAAAGCATTCAGATACCTGGAACCAGTGCTGGAGAGACTGGCAGGGGAAAAATTCACACTCTCCATGAGAAGGTCTTGAAGATGCTTGGCTGAAAAGAAATAAGAGTTCTATGGTGACTAAGATCTTTGTTTTGCTTTATTTTAATTTTTCAACAGTTTTATTGCAATCACCCACCTAAAGCATATAATTCAATGGCTTTTACTATGTTCAGAGTTGTGTACCCATCCTTGTAGGTGTGAAGTCCAATGAGGTTTTGATTTGCATTTCCCTAATGGTTACTGATGCTGTGCTTACTGGCAGTCCCTCATCATATATATGATTTGCAAATATTTTCTCCCATTCTGTGTGTTGTCTTCTCATTTACTTGATGATGAGAAGAAAAAAAATTTGAGATCAAAGTTTTTAATTTTGATGATTTTTAATTTACCTACTTTTTCTTTTGCTGCTTCTGTTTTTGGTATTATAGCTAAGAAACCATAGCCAAATCCAAAGCATGAAGATGTACATCTATGCTGTCTTCTGAGTTTTAGATTTAGCTCTTACTTTTAGATTTTTCATTCATTTTGAGTTAATCCTTGTTTTTTTTTAAACCCATATATGTGTGTGTGTGTGTATTTATTCATTTATTTGGCTGTATCCGGTCTCAGTGGCAGCACTCAGGATCTTCACTGCTCCAGAGCATGTGGACTTCAATAGTTGTAGCACACAGGTTCTCTAGTTGTGGCGCTCGGGCTTAGCTGCCTGGTAGCATGTAGGATCTTAGTTCCCTGATCAGGCATTGAAGCTGTGTTTCCTGCATTGCAAGGCAGATTCTTAACTACTGGACCACAGAGAAGTCCCTTAAGTTAATTCCTATATATATTATGAGGCAGGGTCCAACTTCATTCTTCTACATGTGGATATTCAGCCATCCCAGCCCTGCTCACCAGACACCAACTTATAGTTGTTGTTTAGTCACTCAATCATGTCTGACTCTTTGCAACCCCATGGACTGCTGCATACCTGGCTTCCCTGTCCATCACCAACTCCCAGAGCTTGCTTAAACGCATGTCCATGAATTGATAATGCCATCCAACCATCTCTGCCTCTGTCACCCCGTTCTCCTGCCCTCAATCTTTCCCAGCATCAGGGTCTTTTCCAATAAGTGAGCTCTTCACATCAGGGGATCAAAGTATTAGAATTTCAGCTTCAGCATCAGTCCTTCCAACGAATATTCAGCGTTAATTTCCTTTAGAATAGACTGGTATGATCTCTTTGCTGTCCAAGGGACTCTCAAGAGTCTCCTCCAGCACCACAGTTCGAAGCATCAATTCTTCGGCCCTCAGCTTTCCTTATCGTTCAACTCTCACATCCACACATGATTACAAGAAAAACCATAACTTTGACTATACAGACCTTTGTCAGAAAAGAGATGTTTCTGCTTTTTTATGCGGTGTCTAGGTGTGTCATAACTTTTCTTCCAAGGAGCAAGTGTCTTTTAATTTCATGACTGCAGTCATAGTCTGCAGTGATTTTGGAGCACAAGAAAATAAGGTCTGTCACTGTTTCCACTTTCTCCCCATCTATTTGCCTTGAAGTGATGGATGCTATGATCTTAGCTTTTTGAATGTTGAGTTTTAAGCCAGTTTTTTCACTCTTTCACCTTCATCAAGAGGCTCTTTAGCACCTCTTCATTTTCTGCCATGAGAATGGTGTTTTCTGCATATCTGAGGTTATTGATATTTCTCCCTGCAATCTTGATTGCACCTTGTGCTTCATCCAGCCTGGTATTTCACATGATGTACTCTGCGTACAAGTTAAATAAGCAGGGTGACAACATACAGTCTTGACGTACTCCTTTCCCAATTTTGGACCAATCTGTTGTTGCATGTCTGGTTCATACTGTTGCTTCTTGACCTGCATACATGTTTCGAAGGAGGCAGGTAAGGTGGTCTGGTATTCCCATCTCTTTAAGGGTTTTCCACAGTTTGTTGTGATCCACACAGTCAAAAGCTTTAGCATAATCAGTGAAACAGAAGTAGATGTTTATTGGATACTTTAGTACGGAAAATTGTGTCAAAATTTTGTATATATTAGTAGAAATATTTGCAATTTAATGTGTTACCCTAAAAGGTTCTTTAGGACAGACATGAATAATCTTAACTTTTAAAATCCTTAGAATTTTTGTTACATATTATTATAGACCAAAAAAAAATAGCTTTTACAAAATAAAATTTTTCTGGACTCAAAGCCCCTTTCTTCATACTGTATTTTATTTTTTTTAATTAATTAATTTAATTGGAGGCTAATTACTTTACAATATTGTAGTGGTTTATTGCCATACATTGACATGAATCAGCCATGGGTGTACATACTGTATTTTAATAACTACTAAAATAAGACTTTTCTGGTCCACCTGCCAATGCAGCAGACACGGATTCCATCCCTGGTCCAGGAAGATTCCACATGTTGTGGGGCAACTAAGCTTCTGCATCACAACTACAGAGCCTGCACGTCCTAGAGCCCATGCTCCACAACAAGAGAAGCCACCACAGTGAAAAGCCCATGCCCCACACCTAGAGAGCAGTCCCTGCTCACCGAAACTAGAGAACACCCAAGCGCCTCAAGCAAGACCCGGGACAGCCATAAATAGATTAATTAAAAACCACAGGTAACTTATATGCTTCTTGGAAGAAAAGCTATGACCAACCTAGACAGCATATTAAAAAGCAGAGACATTACTTTGCTGACAAAGGTCCATCTAGTCAAAGCTATGGTTTTTCTAGTAGTCATGTATGGATGTGAGAGTTGGACTATAACAAAAGCTGAGCGCCAAAGAATTGATGCTTTTGAAGTGTGGTGTTGGAGAAGACTCCTGAGAGTCCCTTGGACTGCAAGGAGATCAAACCAGTCAAACCTAAAGGAAATCAGTCCTGAATGTTCACTGGAAGGACTGATGCTGAAGCTGAAACTCCAATACTTTGACCACCTGATGTGAAGAACTGACTCATTTGAAAAGACCCTGAAGCTGGGAAAGAATGAAGGCAGGAGGAGAAGGGGATGACAGAGGATGAGATGGTTGGATGGCATCACCAACTTGATAGACATGAGTTAGAGCAAGCTCTGGGAGTTGGTGACGGACAGGGAAGCCTGGTGTACTGCAGTCCATGGGGTCGCAACTGAGTGGACACAGCTGAGTGACTGAACTGAACTGATCTTATATGTCAGGCTAGTAAGTTTAGACTTATATTTTAGGGGTTAGTGTTTTACCATCAGAGTACCAATAAAATATACTATAATGACACTTAGAACATATTGTTATTGTTCTCTAGTCACTTAGTTGTGTCCAACTCTTTATAATCCCATGGACTGTAGCCTGCCCGTCTCCTGTCCATGAGATATCCTAGGCAAGAAGACTGGAGTGGGTTGCCATTTCCTCCTCCAGGGGATCTTTCTGACCTAGGGATCTAACCTGTGTCTCCTGCATTGGCAGGCAGTTTCTTTACTGCTGAGCTACCAGGCAAGCCCTGTAATATATTAGGTTGCTATAACAACACAATGTAAGACAAATCTGGGTAAAATAAAGAAGCAATGCTAAAAAGCTGTCTACACTAAATCAACCTTGTATACTCTACTGTTAGGGCTTTCCAGGTGGCACTAGTAATAAAGAACTCCTGCTAATGCAGGAGACATAATGAGATGTGGGTTTGATCCCTGGGTTGGGAAGATCTCCTGGAGGAGGGCACGGCAACCCCCTCCAGTATTCTTACCTGGAGAATCCCATGGACAGAGGAGGCTGGTGGGTTACAGTCCACAGGGTCACAAAGAGTTGGACATGACTGAAGGGACTTAGCAGGCACGCATACTTTACTGTTTTAAAATCTGGTTACCTCTAGTTAGTATCTCATTCAAAATTCTGTAATTGATCTCACCTTCTGATTCATATTCCTTTGCTTTCTGTTTCAAGTCCTCTGTTACCAGGTAGACATCCCTGTCTCGGACCCTGTTGCGTTCTGAAAGGTGATATAAAATCTCTGTTGTCCGAGCATTCACCTCATATTGTGGAATGGGATGATCCCCAAATATTTTTTTCAGCCATGCAGCGACCTAACCATTACAAGGGACACAAATTTAATAATCCTTGTTTATTTCAATGGCATGAAGCAAATAAGACGAAGCAAACGAAATGCTTTCTATGAATATTCTGGCATCCTACTTACTTCACATCCTAATTTGTCTTTAGGGAGAGAGCTATCAGATGTCAGGAGATTAAAAAGTGAGCAGGCACAGCACAATCAACAAAATTACCAGAAAACAATCTGTTCTTCCCCAAAGCTACAAAAGCAGTATTAGGCAAGTATTTTGCATCATAGGAAGCTCAATATGCAAGTGCTAACCATTATTATGGGTGCAAAGGTTGAAAAAAGAGTTGTCTCTCTTTTTTCCCCAAGTCCCTCAGAGCCGGAAAGCTCCTAGAGTTGGGATGCGAGATGCGGAAAACAGGTGTGTGTGCTAAGTCGCTTCACTCCTGTCCGCCTCTTTGCGACCCCATGGACTGTAGCCCTCCAGGCTCCTCTGTCCATAGGATTCTCCAGGCAAGAAAACTGGGGTGGGTTGCCATGCCCTCCTCCAGGCGATCTTCCCGGGCCAGGGATCGAAACCGTGTCTCTTACACCTCCTGCATTGGCAAGCAGGTTCTTTAACACTTGGTTAAGAGTGAGAAATCTAGTAAAAAGCAGCGGTGAACGGCGAGGCCTGGCTGGAAGCTGAGTTTGGGATAAGAAGTCCCCCTCCAGTCTCCAGGGAGAGGTTTCACACGAGAGGACTCCTCAACCCCTCTCCGAGCCTGAGTCCCAGCAGGGAATGCCGGGAAAAGAAGGGAAACTCCCTTTTCAGCGTTGGGATGGGGTTGGTGGGGAGAGGGGGCTGCTCACAGATGGTGAAAGCCGTACTAAAGATGGATCAGCAGAGGAACATAGTAAAAGTGGCTCGCCCAGGAGATCCGCCGGCGGGGCGGGTGTGTCAAAGACGCGGTTTCCCGGAGGCCGCAAAGCCCAGCTCCCGCCCCATCACCTGCGCCTCTTTCTCTTCTAGAGCTTCCATCGCCGCCAGTCCCGCCACTTCTCCAGCAGCTCCTCGCGGAAGAAGCGCCCCGCGTGAGCGGATGGCCCCGCCTACACACCGTTGGGCCCACCCACTTCGGGATCCGGGATTTCTGGGAGTTGTAGTTTTTACTAGGACTCCAGGGCGCGGAGCTCCTGGCCGAGGCTGGTCCTAGGCTTCAGCTCTGCAAGCCCTTGTTCCCTTGCGGCTTTCTCCGCTCTCCATTGTTATCACCTTCAGGAGAAGTAAAGCCGCATGGAACCAGGCTGTGTTTTCTTTCTTTTATATTTTTATTTCTCACTTGAATCACTCATCTTAAAAAAAAAGAAAAAACAACCTGGAACTTGTTTTTTGATAGCAGATGTTTATTTCTTCCTCACTTAAAATTTTAATTTTACCTTGGCAATATGACCTAGGGCAGTCTCACTCTTTTTATCCCTTAGTTTCTACTACTAAAGAGCTAAATGTGAAAAAAAAAAGAGCTAAATATGTTGGAAACTGTTTTAAAAAGATTTACAGCATACAACTGCACTGTCACTGCGACTCAGCCATTCTTTCATTCATTTCTTTGCCTTTCCTAAAGTTCTCTCCTCCTTCCATCACTCTGTAGTTTACACCTTGAGAGGTTCTTTATATTTCTATGGTAATGTATAGTTTTCTGTGTTTTCCCATTTTTGTTTCATTCTCACAGGAACCCTGCAAAGTAGATGGGCACACATTATTTTACCTATTTTCACATTAAAACCACACACATAGAATATGTGACTTGACCAAGATTAGGTGGTAGACCTGGACTCTGACCATGGTGTTCTGACTCCAATTGGGTGTTTCAGTCTCCTCAGGTTATACCATGCTGCTGTGCACCACCTCCTGCAGTATACTATTACATTAGGAAAAATAGGTCATGTACTCAACTTTCTGTGGTGATGGTGGTGTTCAGTTGCTAAGTTATGTCTGACTCTGCGATCCCATGGACTGCAGCACCCCAGGCTCCCCTGTCCTTCACTATCTCCTGGAGTTTGCTCAAACTTGTGTCCATTGAGTCAGTGATGCTATCAAACCATCTTACCCTCTGCTGCCCCCTTCTTTTGCTTTCAGTCTTTCTGTGACATGTTTCAATATCAAATTGTGGATCACTTAGCACCAAATATCTTTCTCTTAAGTAATATGCATATTTTAAATGATTAAACTTTTCAATGAAATTTTAGTAAGTAGCCTATATCATATTGTGTGTCTTTCTTATTCTTTTTTGTTTCAGTCATATATGTATCTGCTCATTTACTAAATTCCAGATAAGGGTAGGGAAGTTATCGTTATGCCCTTTGTCCACTTTCATCACTACAAATTTTACAAAATATTTTTGAACTTTATTTTTACAAACCCAAATTTTACCTATTCCTACCCCTAATTCCCAGGAGGACTGTCATATTTACTCAAGGCTTACCTTGAAAAGGAAGTAGGATATTAGATAAAGGGATGGGTGATCATATATTTGCAAACTGTTTTAGGACATGACTGTTTTTAATCCAGATATTTATATGCCCAACCCAAATTAAGATTTGGGGTATAAGCCAGAATTTGGTGAATGAAGCTAAAAGATCCTTCTCAAAAGAGTTACAAGAGAAGTTAATGTAAATACTCTCCACTATCATAAAATGTCATAAAATGGCACAGTGGTAAAAAAAAAAATCCACCTACCAATGCAGGAGACGCAAAAGACAAGGGGTTTGATCCCTGGGTTGGGAAGATCCCTGGGTCGGGGAGATTCCCGGGTCGGGAAGAAACCCTGGAGGAGGAAATGACAACCCATTCCAGTAATTTTGCTTGGAAAAATTACACGGACAGAGAAGCCTGGTGGGATACAGGCCATGGGGTTGCAGTCCGATAGGACTGAACAAGCATCACAAAATACCTAACATTTTCCTTCCCAACCCAAATTCTGCACATTTCACAATTATCTCGGTAACTCTCTCTCTCTCTCTCTCCCTCCCTCCCTCCCTCTCTCTCTCTCTCTCTCTCACACACACACACACACACACACACACACACACACACACACACACACACACACACACAATCTCCCTGGGGGGAACAAGTCCTGTCCTGATTTCATTGGGTTGGTATAGAAAGTTATTTTCATCATTACCCTTCTACTTCAAATGACAAAGTAATGTCTACACTGTCATGAAAATAGCTACTTTTAGAGAAAAAATTGAGCCCTAGCTCACTCTGGAGTGATTCTGGACCATTCTTCCCAGGATTAGCAACCACTCTATTCGAATTTTTGCTTGTAAACATTTTATTTTTTTATTTTTATTTTTATTTTTTGTTAAACATTTTAATGTTAATTGGCAGACATGATTCTTTCAGATCGAATCTAAAAGAACTACTATTCTTCAGTTTGAGTGCTTTTCAAACGTTCGGCTTGCCCCCAGTTTTTGACTCAGAGTCTCTGGGGGTGTGGCTAGCGATCTGCAGATTAATCCGCGTTAATTCGCACAACAGGAAGTGCTCTGCTGCCTACACTCTCAAGAGGAGTAACTATTGCATCCACATCACCAAGGTTTAATAGCTGTATCTTCGGGACCCGCCACAGTCAACCCCCCTGATGGTCAAGCTAGCCAGCTGCGCCCCAGGACAAGGTGACGGCAGCACCGTTTTTCTACCAGGATGCGGCCTGGAAACTGCTTCTCAGCCAGTTCCGCTATAACCATGTGGTCGCCCAGGGCAACCACAAGGTCGATGAGAAAGATCAAAGTATGTAACCAGTGCCTGGGTCGACGCTGGCGAACGTCTAATGAGTCATCTGGAGGTTGAAAATCTAAAAACGATACTTAAAGGAAGAAAATAATTAACGCCCCACCCCCACCCTGGCAGATTCGAGTCCGGGGGTGAAAGCGAGGGGCGGTACATCCGGGTCACGTGGGCTGACTGCTTTGACCTTCCCCGCAGCTCGGCCATTTTGTCCCAGTCAGTCTCGAGGCTGCGGCTGCGGAGGGAGCACTTGAGGAGGAGCTGCAAAAATGCTGTCCGTGCGCGTCGCCGCGGCCGTGGCCCGCGCCCTCCCTCGGCGAGCGGGGCTGGTGAGCACCGGAGGCTGGCTGGAGGGAGGGTCCAGACAGCCGCGCCGCGGGTGGCGATTGCACGGGCTCGGGCTCTCTTTCTGTGCGAAGGGTGAGGGGCTGTGGCGGGCGGCGCCATCTTGCCCCGCTGGCCGCTCTGCCTGGCCTGGGCTGTCGGCGAAGGGCTGTTCGGCTCGCCCGGTGCGGGAGGGTGCAGGGTGCTGCAGGGGAGACAGTGACCTTCGTGCTGTCTGGAGATGGCGCCTCGGGACGATTCCAGTCTTCGTCCGAGAGGTCGGAGAGGGGCCTTGGATGAAGGTCAGGGCTGGGGCGCTAGTTTCCCGAGGCCTGCTCCGAATCGGGGAGCCCGGGCCCCACTGACTCCCCGGGACTTACTCGCTGAAGGTCAGAGCACTGTTGTCAGCCCAGGTTGAAGCAAGGTAGAGAGCATTGCCTGAAGGTCAGCAGGCCCCGGCATTTCACCTCCTCCAGAGGTCGGTTCAGAGAAAAGCGATAAATGAAGGTGCCTTTCTGAATGCTTCAGTATGTGATCTCCTAGTGCCGAATAGTGAAACGATCGTGAAAACCCCGTACAGGTGCAAATATGCATTTCAGTGCGGGCGCCACTCTGGCAGCGGAGGAGCTGGCTTCCAGGTTGTCTCAGACTGGCGGACTGGTCGGTGGTGCTTGGACTTGCTTTAAGATTTCATTCTTGAGGAATGTTAGTGATTGAAAACTCAAGGAAAATACAACATAGGTTGGGAGATTCTTGTGAAGGTCAGTGCCCTTCATTACTCAAATCCCCTGAAGTTAAGGACATAACTCCTAAAGGTTATGTAAACGATTTGACATTTGTGTTTTCATCTTCAGAGTTATCTCATTTTGGAAGGCCAAATAAATACGTTGGCCATTTACTGCCCAAACACTACCGCTGATAACATCTTGGATTTCTGTTAACCAAAAAAAAAGAAAGTACTCAAGGGCATTCATCCTAGTCCTGTAGAAGGGAATGTCTTCAGAATATGCCTTGACCAACCACAGTTACAGAAGCAGGGTCCGGATTCCTGCAGGATTTGTTGAAAACATAGTGCATATTGCTATATCTCTTAGTTTCTAACCAAACTCAACATTTAGAGGCTTTTTTAAAGATTAGAATAGAAAATCTATTGAGATTTGCCCCTTTTAGGAAGCAGTTTATAAAATTGAGGATTTCCACAACTCAATTGAAATACATTTGAAATTGAAATAATATTTGTCTGGTGCTTTTAAAAGGAAAGATACTTTGTTAGCAGTTGCTTTTTAAAATAAGCTTTTTTTTTTTTTTAGTGTACTTACAGTGTACCAGGAACTGCATTAATACATTTTCACATATATGAATAAATGCTTTCTCACGTGATTAATATTTGTGTGCTGATAATTTGATCATACCAAGCCTGCATTTGTTTAATCTTGCTAGTTTTATAAAGGCTTTTTTTAAAAAAAATCAAATTTTTAAAGAAAATTTCTTGCACTAGGTCTCCAAAAATGCTTTGGGATCATCCTTCATTGCTGCAAGGAACCTGCATGCCTCTAACTCTCGTCTTCAGAAGACCGGTAAGTCATTATTTTGTGTCTGGACCACACTTACTACCTTGTTACTAAATGAAAAATGTTACATAGGTTACATACCTGTTGGGAATAGTTTTTGGATTTTTTCCATTAGTGAATTTTTTTCTCTCAATTTTAGTTAGTGGAATTTTAGATTTTTAACCCATAATATGCCATTTAGCTCTATCTTGGTAGGTTCCCTTCTAGTGAAATGAACTACAATTATTTATTTCTGTTGATGGGAGCACAGGTTCTTTTTTTGTCATAACAAATACTTCTTGTTCCATATCAGTATATGTCAGGTGATAGGCTTCTTTCTGACCTGTGAACCCTTTCCTAATAGACATTGGG